TAGGCGAGCATCATAAATGAAACCACCATAAAACTAAACACTAAGTGCCTAGCCAAATGTCGAGGAGCTCATCACCAATTGGGCTACCTAGTTTTCTCAAAGCCGAAGCCTTATTTATGGCCATAGAAATTGTTCTACGCACAATCATAACCGGTGGTCTAGTTACTCCATTATGAACTCGTCTATTCCGCTCCTTCCAAATTTCATATATGCAGGTTTGCCATCCTTGCACCAGTGACGGATAGGGGGAATAGAACACAACGATAACCAAAGGAAAGTTGATTCCCAAGTGAGAGACGCATTAAATAATTGTAATCTATGTAACACACCACGCCATATATCCGCAGAGAAAGAACACTCGAAGAACAAATGATCTCTAGCTTCCTCGGCCCGACCACATAGAATGCAAACAGTTTCCACATCAAGACCCCAAGAGGCTAATCTGTCAAAAGTTGGGTTTCTATTCAAAACAAATTACCAGGCTTGGGGACTGTCGCCTTATGCCAGATCAAAGAGAACCATGAAACCAACGGTTTAGAGACTCTAATCACATTCCAAACAGCTTTCGAAGAGAAACTTTTGGTGATATGATCACCCACCAGCCATTGAGGCTTATCATTTGTATTGAAAATCGTGAGAGATGATATGAAAGCCAACAACTCCAACTGCTTGTCTGATCTGGCTGTAGAAAAGACCCATCCATTACTCGATATAACATCCTTCACAAGGGCAGACATAGGTATCCCAAGACTGGTCGGTCTAGCCGGACCTAAGAAATCAATTAGACGACCAAAAAGAATCCAAGGATCCCACCAAAAGAAAGTGGAGTCTCCATTACCCAATTTTATCCAAAGGAATAACACTGCCTTTTGTCGAAGCTTTAACAATTTGCGAAACATCCATGAGAACGTGTTGTTATTTTCATTTAGAGACCAAAAACATCCATTTGAGAGATAGATGAGACACTAGATCCTATTTGTCATCCTTCTCTATTAATATACAGAGGATATGAGTTGTTAGGAATTATGTAGAGAATATTATATGTCGGTCGGT